AAAGTCACCAAAAATATACATTTCTTTGCTTCTAGATAAGCTTTTTCAATGTTATGAGCTAACAGCACATCTATGTTATGAACAGTACTTGGAGGTCTATAAACGCAACCAAGTAAAATAGACTACAAGTCTATGTCATGTGGGATTCCCCACTCAATGACATAGATCATGTGGTATTCTCCCACTCAATGACATAATGTAGGCCATGTGGTATTCTCCCACTCAATGACATGGGCCATGAGGTATTCTCCAACTCAATGACATGGGTCATGTGGTATTCTCCCAATCAATGACATGGGTCACGTGGTATTCTCCCACTCAATGACATGGGCCATGTGGTAATCTCCCAATCAATGACATGGGTCATGTGGTATTCTCCCATTCAATGACATGGATCATATGGTACTCACCCACTCAATGACATAGATCATATGGTGTTCTCACACTCAATGACACAGATCATGTGGTACTCTCCCACTCAATGACATACATGTAGGTCATGTGGTATTCTCCCACTCAATGTTATAGGTCATGTGGTATTCTCCCACTCAATGTCATGGGTCATGTGGTATTCTTCAATTCAATGTAGTGGGTCATGTAGTATTCTCCTACTCAATGAAATGGGTCACGTGGTATTCTCCCACTCAATGAAATGGTCACGTGCTATTCTTCCACTCAATGAAATTGGTTATGTGGTATTCTCCCACTCAATGACATGGGTCATGTGGTAATCTCCCATTCAATGACATGGGTCATATGGTATTCATCCACTCAATGACATAGATCATATGGTATTCCCCCCACTCAATGACATGGGTTATGTGGTATTCTCACACTCAATGACATGTATGTAGGTCATGTGGTATTCTCCCACTCAATGACATGGGTCACGTGGTATTCTCCAACTCAATGACATGGGTCATGTGGTATTCACCCACTCAATGACATAGATCATATTATATTCCGCCACTCAATGACATAGGTCATGTGGTATTCTCCCACTCAGACATGGGTCATGTGGTATTCTCACACTCAATGACACAGATCATGTGGTATTCTCCCACTCAATGACATACACGTAGGTCATGTGGTATTCTCCCAGCCAATGACATGGGTCATGTGGTATTCTCACACTCAATGACACAGATCATGTTGTGTTCTCCCACCCAATGACATAGGTCATGTGGTATTCTCCCACTCAATGACATATGCCATGTGGTATTCTCCCACTCAATGACATAGGCCATGTGGGATTCTCCCACTCAATGACATATGCCATGTGGTATTCTCCCACTCAGTGACATATGCCATGTGGGATTCTCCCACTCAATGACATATGCCATGTGGTATTCTCCCACTCAATGACATAGGTCATGTGGTATTCTCCCACTCAATGACACAGGTCATGTGGTATTCTCCCACTCAATGACACAGGTCATGTGGTATTCTTCCACTCAATGACACAGGTCATGTGGTATTCTCCCACTCAATGTCATGGGTCATGTGGTATTCTTCCATTCAATGTCGTGGGTCATGTAGTATTTTCCCACTCAATGACATAGGTCATGTGGTATTCTCCCACTCAATGACACAGGTCATGTGGTATTCTCCCACTCAATGTCATGGGTCATGTGGTATTCTCCCACTCAATGACACAGGTCATGTGGTATTCTTCCACTCAATGTCATGGGTCATGTGGTATTCTCCCACTCAATGTCATGGGTCATGTGTTATTCTCCCACTCAATGACATGGGTCATGTGGTATTCTCCCACTCAATGACATGGGTCATGTGGTATTCTCCCAATCAATGACAGGTCATGTGGTATTCTCCCACTCAATGACAGGTCATGTGGTATTCTCCCACTCAATGACATAGGTCATGTGATATTTTCCCACTCACTGACATAGGTCATGTGGTATTCTCCGACTCACTGACATAGGTCATGTGGTATTCTCCCACTCACTGACATAGGTCATGTGGTATTCTCCCACTCAATGACTTCATGTGGCCATTTGTAAAGACTTATTGCCAGTATTTATACAAAGAAATCTTGCACACACCACTTTTATCTTGTAGAAAGGAGCTTTGTAAATTTACATTCATACAATGTTATCATTTTCACGATTGTAAACACTAGCTGTAGTGTTTATAGTTGTAAAACATGTGATTACATAAACTAATTACACATGTATGTATTGTCTTGTCATTTGTCCAACTTACCCAGTATGCACCACGGCAAAAGCTGTCTTTGCTCTATCGTAGAAAGCAAATCTTTCTATTTCACCAATGTTCACCTAGGCCAAGAAATAAAGCTGTCATGTTATATATAAAGAAAATCTATATTCTTTAAGAGCATTACAGAATAATTTTTTTTAAACACTCTCACTATTTGTAGCAAATAAAAAAAAATCTATATCTTCTATAATGCCATATGCAATGTTTTAAAGGATTGTTTCAGTAAGTGAATCATTACAGTAATGCTATACAATACCTCTCGTTTCTCTGCTTTGTTCAAAATCTCTTGGTATTTATCCCAGACTGGTGTTTTTAGGTTTTTCTGTTTGTCAGATTCAACCAGGTCCATCACATGTGCCTATTAAAGTGAAACATAACCTCAATTGCTCTGTCTTCCCCTGAAACATTACAATTTTTTGAATATTGATTTTTTTCTTGTATTACAGAAACTATCAATGAGGAGCATTTTACTATTTACAGCAATTTCAAAATGAACACAGAATAAAAAAATTACATGCTATGTAAGGTGGTTGTGTTTATTATAAGTTATAAACCCTTTTTTGATATTTGAGATAATATAGCGGTGACCTACAGGTTTATCTACATATGCATCTAAAGGAAATAGTTTCATGATAGCTTCCAGTAACTCCGGTATGCCATGCCCTGCAAGGTGAAACCATTAAAAATACTCATTATCACATTCACAGACTCTCTTGAATTTATTAGGTACAAAGTCACATGCATAGATGATGAATCACTAACTTCTACATTAACTGTAAAATAGATTTTCAATTGTGATGTTTTTATATGGTGACTTCTCTGAAAGAAAAAGTTGTAAAAGTTGTGTGACTGAAGGGGTAATTCAAACATCATCAAGGATGTTTGCCATTCATGCAGCATAATGCTTAACTTGTATAACAATAAAATATGGTAATTATATTGATTTCATTATGACCTATTGGTTCCAATATTGGAAGGACCTCTAATCCTAAATCTAACACAATCAAATTAATTGTATATGCCCCCCTTGAGAACATCTATAGTTATTTAGAGGGGCATATACAACTGAATTTTAGGACTGGAGTGTTAGAGTCTAACTAAGGGTGCATGTTCCCTTGATTATGTTTTTGGTTTGTGGTGAACACTCAATGCAAACAGAAAGCAACAAATCCTTGTGATGAGACTTGTGAGACATTGCTTCATCGTCTGCTGGCTTATGCATGTAAAGTACAGTGTTATTATGTTATCCCGTGAACAATTTGAAAACAGTTTCTCTTGTTTCAGTGTTAACATGTGCAGCCCCATGTGACTCACAATTATACAAGAAATCAGCATCTGGCATATGTGTTATAGTATTACTTACCATCAGCTCGAATTTCTTCTGGACCATGCTTACAGATTGAACCAGTGGGAAAAAACACATCTGCCAAGACTGTTGAAAAACAAAGCAGTACATAGAGGTGTTGCTGTGAAGCATTTCTGTATGACATTACAATATAGTGTGTGCTTATAAGAAAAATACAAAACGTGCCTATCTAAAAACAATATTCAGATGAAAAGTTGCAGTTTGTATGCAGTCTACATGCATAAAGTTTACATCAGAAGTGGACGGTGTTGTTGAAATTCAGCGCAACAAAATAATTGAATTGATATTAACGTCAGTTTAGAGAATTATGTGGTTCAGCATTGTATGTTTAGTGTTCAGGTTGGTATACAATATCACCAAGAAACAATACCTGGTAAATTTAACTTAATTTGAAGTTTTTTTTAACTAATTTAGTTAAATTGTATAATAAATTGCAATTCAATTATGTTAAATTTAAACTCCAATTCTGTAATTGAATTTTAATTTATTTTAACTGAATTTAGGTTGATTGCTTAAAATTTCATGAGAGACCTATATACTCCACAGATTCATGTTACTGTTCTGGTTCCACATTCTTAAAGATATTTGCAAAGCGGGGGGGGCTACTTGCATAGAAGTGCAATATGGGTATGTGCTAAGACTGGGGTATCTCTTCACTTTATTTTGTTTAGAAGTGGGTGGTCATTTATCAATAGTTTGGTTTAGAAGTGTGTAACATTTATTTACATTTTCACAGGTCCTTATATTCAAAGCTAAATACCGGAAAAGGCTGAATAAAATGCATCGCCCGGATGCGCTCACTGGTTGCTAAAGTTGTGATCTTGGTGTTTTTTGTGGGCATATAAATAGAAAAAAATGGTTTAGAAGTGAGTATGGTTTACGATAGGTGGGCTGCACACCCTTACCCACTTAATGTGGAAGTAGCCCCGCTGGGCTACAATGTAGCTCAATACTGGAACCGTATAGAAATCAAACTATACAGTGAGAAACAAAAAGCAGCACAACATGACACTCTCACAACTGCCCCCCCCTCCAAATTAACAAATGATAGACCCAGAATGTTTGTGTTCATCTACGAATGTTTTCATTGTTTGTGGGTAAGCGAATATTAATGACATTGTGCTATGAAATTCAGAAAATGAAAAAAAGAAATTACAATCAAAACATTTATTTTATAGTTTTTTTGACACGCCCCCTTGGAACAAAGTTCCGGGTTGCTATATACCGAACACCGCGTGCAATATACACATTCATCGAATATTTTGGATTTTCAGTGACTGGGTCTGTATACTGAATATACGAATGTGATATATATGATTAGCCTGGTTATGTAATAAAAAGGTAATCTGGCTAACATTTATTCCATTTTTAGTCGCCACCTCAACTATTGTCAATGCATTGGGAATGGAATGGCACAGAGTTACAATACCTATCTCATCTCCATGTCCCATTCGTGCCAAAACATTCAACAGGTCCGGCGAGATAATTCGAGGGATTCCCTTTAGAACAACCATTTCAATGTTTTACTAGTCCACATTTGCTTTGGCAGCTGATGCCGGTCACGTGACTGGTTAACCCCGTAACCTCGTTCGTATTTAGTTGATCCAACAGCCATCGACCAATCAGAGTGTAGTTGATGAGAATGGTTTCTTTGGTTGTTAAATTCAAATTGTAAACAGTATTAGCAGAATCAACCATCCAGTTGGTAACGTAGAGTAACTCACTCTACAATTCTATGCTAGTCCGGTTGGTTTTCACTAAAACCATCCTAACAAGGATCTATAATTATTGGGGCGTGCTGGAGTTGATCCCCTGAAGTAGTTGTTTAAAAAATGGAAATCACATTGATTCTTGTGTGAAATCGCAGATTCAGTGATTATTAAATAATACTGGTACTCAACGTCGAAATAGAAAAACGTTGTCAACCAATTTCATTCAAATTTTGGGTAATTTTAGATCGTTTTTGATTATTTATAATTAGGATCAAATTATGTGTTGATTCATTGGGCTGAATTACCAGATACAATTCCAACAGAGCCATTATGTAACCATTATGTAGCCATTACTGTTTTACAATAAAGTGCGTACTCAGTGATTCGAAATAAATATCCACGAAGCGACAAAAAGCGAGTTACATGGCACTGCATTGCTATTGCTTGGCATTTTAGGATTACTGGTAATACGACAGTGAAATAATGGTTGCGATGTTAGCAAACTCCAACAAGCTTAATAAATGCAGAACAAAAAAAAAAAATGACCTTCGTCATGATAAAGTAAGTGTAGTGTACACTTCATAAATGATAACACTAATCTCCAGATTGTCATTGGTTTCCAAAATGTTTACAGCCGTTCTGAGAATTATTCGGACAGTCAGTTAGCAATATATGTTGGAACTTTGCAAAACATTTGGGTCTTTTCCAATCTAGACTTGATGGCGCCGTTGTATTGGCACGCCCACAATTGGAATCATTCCATTATCTTGCAAGATGCGGGTAAAACGCTGTTTTCAAAACGACATGCGTTGGTTACCATATATTAACAGGTTATATGTTGTATATGCATTCAAAGTGTTATTTTAAAATGTTATAACCATCTGAGTCCACCTGACATAGCGTAATTTACAAAACAACTCCCGAGTGTTGAGTAACCCCAGGTATTAATGAACTCGTCGTTGGCGGGAAGGCTCAAAGTAAAGTTTCTTAGCGGGACGCGCTG